TTGGAGAGTTTTTAGCACTTATTGGATCTTTACCTTTTTCAGTTCAACCTTCTCTCTGGTGCCAGTTACTTTTTGCTGGAGGAAAAATTTCCCCATATTTTTTTCAGGCATAGTTGTCGAGGTCCCAGATAGACCTTGGGAATCCCTTGTTAGTAATATTACAGCATCTGATAGCCTTGACTGAGGGAACGTTTCAGGACATAGCCGTTGGGTGGGATTTATTCATCTACCTCTGAAGTGTTGATCTGGATACGTTCCTGTATAAACTTGGACATTTGAGACGTTTGACAGCATTGCTCTAGAATAAATATCAGTTTCTACTAAATAAATAGTGCAAGGTTTAGGATTTAACAAAAAATACTGTCAAGTAGTACTGAAACTGGAGCTGGCCAATTCATTTTAGCCTCATATTTTTAAAATTATTGTTGATTATGATATTTACAATTAAAGGCTAACAGTGGACTTCACGATTATTGTTGCTGTTGGTTGCCTAGTCAGCCAGATGTTTAGACTGGATTTGGCATTTTAATCCACCTATCGAGTCCTTCCCAAGGACTTGGGATAGACAGATGTTGGATGGTGTTAAAGGTATCATTGCAGGATGTAAGCTGTGTTGTTCTTGTTGTTCTTGTTGTTATTAAAATTCATATGCTGCCCGACTCTCAACGACTCTGGGTGGCTCACAGCAATGGCACTGGAACAGGGGGAACTGTGTGTGTGCGTGTGTGTTTTTGTTATTAAGGGTTAGGGATGAATTTGTACAAAATGGCTGTTAAACCTCTGGGATTATAGAACAACTTTATATTTTATTTATTTATGTTAAACATGTATCAGGCTGCCCAACTCTACCATGACTGTTTACAGTGTTGGGAAAAATGACAAAACTACATCAGAAAAAAAATTGCAAATTTTTCTGCCAAAGTTTGCTGGGGTGAGATCTGGAGCTATAAAATTGGGGCAAGTGCCATGGGCCTTAGGTTGCCCTAAGCAAAGTCATGACTAGGTCCCCTGTGACCATCAGTTGATTGTTGAAAAAGGAAATCTTATTTTAGTCACTTTAGTGAGCAGCAGTCTCTGTGCCCCGGGGTCAGAATGAGCTAGGAAATGTTCCCTGCGGAACCTGCTTGCTTCAAGAGGATTGAGTTGCAGCTGTGTGGAATTGGAACTGGATCCAAGTGGAGACAGATTTGATGGCTTCTAGCAAAGGAACCAAATCTGGCTTCTTTCACATTTGGGTTGGCTTCAACCAAGGCTACACAATTTTTATTTATTTATTAATTAGACTAAGGACTGCACTTATTGAGTGTTATGCCAGGGTCTGCACTCCATAAAATAAACAGATTTAGGACAGAGAAGAGGGTTGATTGATTATGTGCCATTAAATCATTTTCCACTCCTAGCAACCACATAGATAGATTTTCTCCTTGATGATCTGTCCCTAACCTGATTTTTCAGATCTTCCAGTGGTGCACTCATTGCTACTGTAACTGAGTCCATCCACCTTGCTGTTGGTCATCCTCTTCTCTTTCCTTCCACCTTTCCCAGGATTAGAACTTCTCCAAAGAGCTGGGTCTTTGTATAATTTGTCTGAAGTAGGATAATTTGAGCCTGGCCATTTGTGCCTCAAGTGAGAATTCTGGGTTGATTTGTTTGATGATCCATCAATCTGTTTTCTTGGCTGTCCATGGTATTCTAGGAGTCTTCTCCAACACCAAAACTCAAATCAGTACTCTTCCTATCCTGCTTCTTCAAAGTAATATGTTTTTCCTGTTGAAATCAATCATGGTGATAACTTTTGGAGGGTCTTTGGAAGACACAATCAAGGATTTTGGGGATTGTGTGCTATCTGGGACCTCAGGACATAAATCCATGGTTTTGATTATGTTTTTAGTATTAAAATGGCTTCTGAATCCTCCATGCTTTTCCATGTATAGAAAATGCATCTTGATTAGAGGCTAGATCAAACTTTCATCCAGATAACTGGTTTTGTTTGCTGGTGTTGTTTGTGAATTGTAGAAGGCCTGGGTGTCTGAGTTTGGGGTACAGCCTTCTGTCCTCCAACTCCTCCAAATCTATAGCTGAACCCTGGTTGTTTTTGGTATTGCCATTCTCGGGGACATTGTTGATAGTAGCTATCATAGGGTAATCATTGCTTTTTATTGAATGCTATACAGAATACAAGTAATAACAGTTGAAAATAAAACTTTTTAATGACATTCCAAATTGTTCAGTAAAGAACTGTATACTTAAAGGAACCCTAAATAAAAAAAAGAAATAAAGAGAAAACAACACTTTAAAATGAAATAATAATAGCATATAACAAAATTATAGCACCATAGCAGTTCTCTACTTTTCTATTATAGTGAAAATAATACTGTACCATCTTTGTTATATAAATCGTCAGCTGTAATTAGAACCAAGCATCAATTTTTCATGAGAACTAGGGTTAAGTTTTAATTTCTTATTCAATAATACCCAAATGTATCTAACACGTTACCTTGTTATCAAATAGCATAATACATAATGGCGTATCATTTCTGCATATCCAGGTAAAAGATCTTTGATCATCTTTAAAAGACTGTGATATAATCAGCATAAGGTATCCCCAAAGAATCTCTTATTGTAGGAATTATATCACTACCCTTCAAGTGTTTCAAAAGAGAAGCCAATAGTTTACCAGGTGTTTCTTCTTCCCAATATCATCTGTATATAACAGCAACTTTTATTCCCTTTCTGCTCCCCACGTGCCTTGAGTATCACCCAGTTGTCTTATTAAAATGTAATGGTATGTGGGAATGACCTTGAGAGGTGAGGAGAAGAGATGCTGCCTAGGGAATGATCAGATAAAAGGGAGAGGAGCCCACCGCTAAACAACGGGCAGAGAAAGAAACTTAGAAAGGATCTGCCCTAATTGATCAGGTGGTAAATAGGGAAGGCGGGAGATTTGTACTTTCAGACTCGCAAGATTCTGTTCATGTAGCCTTACAATAAAGTAGAATTAGCTCATCTGGTCATGTTTCCTGTCTGGTCTACCTGGGAGGCTGACATAAACACACCAAACTAAATATTTAAAAATGTAGGCAAATTAAATATTAAAGAATACAGGGTCATCCTTGACATGTCTCGCATCTTGAGTGCAAAGGAGATAATCCCATTAGAAATTACCTGAGGAAAAGGAATAGAATAATAGTTTTATCCAAGAAATATTACTGGAAAACCATTTTTCTTCATAATTTGCTCTGACAATTAAATCCCCTGAATGGGCATCTACCACTTGTGGAAGACTTATTGCCTTTAAAGAAACCTCCATTTGCTCAGTAAGTGTAGAAATAAGACAATGTAATCTAATGAATTGTAATTAACTTATCCAACCCCATTGGCTCAGTGCGTCATATTCTGGGAGTAATTCCATTAGCCAACAACAACAAAAAAGGTGTGTGATTATAATTATTATTAATCAGAACCTGAGATAATTACCGTTGATGTGCTCTGATATATTCTTAAATCAATTTTAAAGCAAACTCTCCGGTTAGAGATTTAAAAAAAAAAAATCAGTATATTTTCAGAGAAGATCAGTGCCATTCCTTCTGGGCCAGGAGTGATAAAAATTTTGTTTGCCCACAGTAGTGATAATGCAAGAAAATATATGCAGTCTTATTTACATTTCAGAACGATTGTACTTCACTTGCTTTCTAATACCCATTTACGATGAACTGATAGGAAATCTTTTCTCTGCGACTTGTGGCTGGATTTCCTAGCAACAAATATTCTTTTTTAACCTCAATAGTCTATAAATAATGTTCTTCCTTCTCTTTTGGCAAGTACTAATAA